CTCCAGCCTTTGCAGGACAGAGCTGAGGGTGAGCGGGATGCCACTGTCCTCAAATGGATTCCCAAATGTGTCACAGGCCTAACAACAGAAACTCCTGGGAAAGAGACTTCAGGTGAAATTCAACAGTGACGTGCAAGCCGTGATTGTAAAACTACTGTCTTGTAGCAGAACCCCATACAGAATGTTACTCTTGCAACTCTAGAGATTTTGAATTTGAAAACATTGAAAATGTTCATTAAAACTTTAAAAAATGTTCAGTAAAAGGCTAACATTTTATAAATAATTGTCAATATACTTGTTTTAGGGCTGCACAATTAATAAAATTTTAATTTTGATAATGATTTTTGCATGGGCAAGCATGATTGATTGATACTTAAATGTATGCTTCACCAGTTAAAATGCAAAGCAAAAGCAAATCAGTTGCTCCCTAAATCAGTGCTGGACCACCCGCTTGTGCAGATCATAGTTTTTCCTGCAGTTTTAAGTTTCCTGGACTAATGTAGACGACTAACATTATGTTAAAAAAAATTAAAAATCCCCAAAATTGAAATTTCCTCCACATTATGAGCTTGTGCTTCCAAGAGGATCACCTGGAACAGCCTTGTTGATTTTAATTTTGCATTAAGTTTTGGTATATATTTTTTTCTTGATGCAAATAAGGAAGACGAGTTTTATTTTGATGCAGACACAGATGTGAGCATGTGAAAGCAGTGCTACAAATAATAAATAATAAATGAATAATCGGGACCAATAAAAATGAAGATGGCTTTACAAACCAAAGGGTGACATCATAAATCATCAAGAACATAGGTCCTTAGAATTGGAGGGGGTCATTTCATGTTTGTGACATTTCCGTTGTGGTAAGCAGATCAAAACTAAACTAAGGGGGCAGCGGTGGTGGGAGGTGTATTGATCTGTTATGCTGTTTAGTAAAAAGTACTAATACCTCACTGAAAATACATCACTGTTTGTAAAAGTCCTCAAATTGAGATTGTTTTAGCTTTATTTAAATTGACATGAAGGTTTGGCCATAAACCTCAATGAACTGAAACAACGCCGTAAAGAAGAGTGCTTCAGAAAGATGCAAGAGACTAATTAAGTTATACAGAAATCACTTCAAGTTATTGCTGCTAAAAGGTGGTTTCACAAGCTGTTGAATCACGGGGTGTATTTAATTTTTACAACTGCTTCTTTATTTTGGTGTGCATTTGTTTAATAAACATTTACACTGTGTAATATATCATATGTTGTTGTTCATCTGAGGTATATTTACTAAGGACTTCCTCATCTATATAGCTTTCAGAAGAATATTTCATTTTTTTTATTAATCTTTTGAATATACTTGCAGTTCTGCTGAAAGACAGAACTGTTCTCTCTAACATTTAAAAGAAAAAAAAATAGTTTTTGTCTGTTGTCTTTGCTTTATACTATTTTAGATTAAACTTTCTCCTTCATTATAGTCTTATAGCTATGTCAAATTTGTTGAAAAACAAAACAAAAAACACCCCCCAAACTACTGTAGAGCCTGTTGGAATAAATATCTGAGTGGAGGTAAGATGGAAAAGATGTTTTTGATTCATGCACTGTCAACTGAAAGTTAGAGCAGAATTTTAAACATGCTGTGAACTCAAACACTATATATTTTAATACATTAATAGAGACCTTTGTTGCAGGGGTAGCATAGGTAAATTAATGTTTCTTTATATTCTCTATAAAATTAATACATGTGTCTTTAAATTTTTCTACAAATATAGAAAAATAAACCAAAAGAAAAATGTAGTATTCTCACCTATGAAATAATATATAATTTACGAGTAGTTTATAAAGCCAGTTTCCACATTTTCGCTTCATGTGTGCTGCGATGAGTCCGTTTCGCTTTCAGCATTATTTCGAAGGATGCCGGAAGTTGTTTTGTTGCCGTCAGTTTCGGTTACGCGCTGGCTGCTGCGCTGTCATTCTAGACAACGGAAGAAATTCTGGCAGGCAGTCAGCATGTGAGGGGGTGGAGAGGATACCTGCGTGGAGTCGGTATTTTCATCCTCCTCGGTATATATAAGGGGCGCACTCAAGCTAATCCGAAGACAACGCCGAGAATGGACGACTGTCGTCAAACGCTGCTGTTTACGTTCGGCGTGATAGCTGACATTCAGTACGCAGACATCGACGACGGCTACAATTACACTCGGACTCGTAGGCGATACTACCGAAGCGGTCTCCAGCTCTTGAGAAATGCTCGGAAAAGTTGGTCGGAATCAGCTGTTAAGCCAGCGTTTATTCTCCAGCTGGGAGATATTATCGACGGCTTTAACAAGCCCAAGGACGCCTCGGAGAGCGCGCTGGACACCGTGCTGAGAGAGCTGAGCTCCTGCCCCGCGGAGGTGTATCATGTATGGGGAAACCACGAGTTTTATAACTTCAGCAGGAGCGCGCTGCTGCGTTCAAAGCTCAACAGCACGCTCCACACTGACAGGAGCATGAGCACTGCCCCGGCCGGCTCCGGCATATATGCTTTCAGTTTCAGCCCTTTCCCCGGGTTTACATTTGTTGTCCTGGATGCCTATGATGTGAGCCTGCTGGGAAGAGACAAGGCCAGTGAACAATATGTCGACGCTATGAATTTGATCAAGCAGTATAACAAAAACGAAGATCTCAACTGCCCTCCAGGTATGCTTTACTGATAATTACAACATTAATAAAACAAATGTAATTACATTAGCCCAGATATCAAGTAATAGGAATACGCATGTACACCGTATAAAATGCAGTAATATGTATTTAGTTTATTTATCGCCTTCCTTAAACAACTGACAATTCTTAGATGAAAATGTAATTTATACCAGTGAAGGTATCCAGTATGACAGTTATGTGTTTTAGTAGCATACTTTGTAAATGAGGGCCAAAGGACAGAAAACAGGTTTTATGGATTTACACTTGTTATTGACTAAACTAGCTTGCGACCCACCAACTGAGTTGATGATGTCTCCAAAAGTTGATTCTGTTCATCTGGACGTAGCGTTTTCTGGGAGAAACGTTTTGTCACTCATCCAAGTGACTTCTTCAGTCTCAGCTGACTGCAGGTTTCCCCAATCTTATAAACAGTACATTTGCATAATGACTGAAACTGAAGGAACAATGGGCTGTGAGGTCAGTTCCTTAATCATGATTATGCAAATTCTCATGACCATTGATCAACAACCACTGACCAAAACCCACTGATCAATGGCCATGAGTACCATTCACAGAGAGTTGGGGAATGGCAGCAATCACAGCATTGTAAGATGGCGAAAGATGTACCCTTAGGCCCCCTCCTCCTCAGCTGAGACTGAAGAAGTCACTTGGATGAGTGACGAAACGTTTCTCCCAGAAAACGCTACGTCCAGATGAACAGAATCAACTTTTGGAGATTTATTTTCCTGGATGATTGAGAATGCATCAAGATGAGTTGATGATGGTTTGTGTTTTTGTTTCAGCATTTAACAATCTCACGCAGAGATTCACAATGTTCAATGGTGGGTTCAGTAAGGAGCAGCTGGACTGGTTAGACTCTCTTCTATCATCAGCTGATGAGAAACAAGAAAAGGTCACAATTGTCAGTAAGTAAAACTTTTAAATACGTTCACTGGACACCTTGCTAGTACAGGACCAAGATTTGCCTTAATTTCTCACGGCATAGATTTCAGTCCATATTAAGATAAGAGCTTCATGCAGTTGCTGCAGCTTTGTCAGCAAAATGTCTGTGATGGGACTGTCCTGTTCCACCACATCCCAAACGAGCTATATCTGAGTTCAGTAAACTAACTGGCATGTTCCAGAAAGTAGTTTGAGATGATTTGAACTTTGTGACATGGTGCATTATCTTGCATTATCTTCTACTGTCCAGTTTTAATGAGCTCATGCAAACTGGAGCCCTAGTTTCCTGCTCTTAGCAGGAATGGTTCCTGGTGCGGTCTTCTGCTGCTGCAGTCAGTTTCCTTGGTTCTAGGTTTGCAAACTGCATCCAGCACAGAACCAAGAGCATTACACTGCTAACAAAACACCAGCCCTTTGCAAGCATCTGGACAAACAGCATGTTAACACAAAGGTAGCCAAGAACCCAAAGTGAACGTATGCTGATTCCAGCTCAGCTTGATCAGAGCCTGATCTTCAACAGTCCAGTGCTTCTAGTACAATTTAAAAGAACACGTGTGTTTTTATTTTTCCTCCTTTATCCAGGTCACCTCCCCATCCACCCAGACTGCACAGATACCATTTGCCTCGCATGGAACTTTGAAGAGCTCCTGGCCGTCATACGCTCCCACACCAGTGTGGTGTGTTACATGGCGGGACACGCCCACGACGGTGGATACTGCCAAGACGAAGATACAGGAGTGCACCACCTGACGGTTGATGGGGTGATTGAGACGCCACCTGACAGCAATGCATTCGCCACAGTCTCTGTATATGGAGACAGGATGGAGCTGAAAGGATACGGGAGTATCACAGATCGAGTGTTTCTGTTTCCATCCAGACAAAATGACACATACTGTAATTAAAGAATCACAACTTTATCACTTCTGTCTTGAAAAAGAATTATTGAAGAATTATTTCTTGTGTGAGTCCAGTCCACCAGTTAGTTAGTGATACACCTAGGAACTAATTTAGAAGATTTTTGAAAGTGTCCTTTTGCGTTTAATCACACCTGGAGCTGTGATGGAACTGTTTGGATTTTGAGAAATGTTCTTCAGACTGGGAACTTGAAGGATGTTTCTCTGAAGAAGTGGGAATATT